TCAGCGCTTATATTATTGTATCCGTTTGAGTGATTTCTGTAATTATAATCTTTTAAGGGATAGATTGTAACTTTACCTTTACCTTAAAAGTATATGATTTCTGTAATTTACCCTTTATATTATCCGGATCAACTCCTTAAATGACATTTTTGGTATTTTAACTTTTATGTGACCCATAGTTTTCTTTAGCCGGTTTTGACTTTTACTTTCATGTGATCAATAATAGTTTTCTTCATGACTAAAAACAAATGCATATTGGGTAATTTTATATAGATATCAATGTTATTAATGTTTTATTTAGTAATTGGGATTGAGTGTTATTTAGACACCTTTCTAGAAACAGGGTCAATTGAAGTAATTGAAAGTAACAAGTAACAAATTAATTAAATCTTAGCTGTTATCATGACCAAAGTTCAATTTGAGCATTCACTTCTTTAGCAACACTACTAATTAATTAGAAATTTTCTCTGAAATATGACCATAGAAGTTGAAAGTTGAAACTATATAATAAAATAAAATGTTATCCACTTACTATTCTAAGTTTACCTATTATTATTATTATTATTATGATGATGATGATTATCATCATCATCATCATCATCATCATTATTATTATCACTATTATTATTATTATTATTATTATTATCACTATCATTATCATTATTATTATCACTATCATTATCATTATTAGATAAGAGAGTACACTGATAAATCGGAAACAATAATGATAATTCATGTCCGGAACATCATCAAATTACCATCCACTCAGGTTTCATCCGTGTCTAAATATAAATGGAAACAATAATGATAATTCATGTCCGGAACATCATCAAATTACCATCCACTCAGGTTTCATCCGTGTCTAAATATAAATGGAAACAATAATGATAATTCATGTCAGAGAGAGAGAGAGAGAGGGGGGGGGTGATAGTTAGTTATGGAGCATAATTAAGTTTATTATAGTGTCTATTTACAAAAAACATCCATTAGTATTTCATTAAGGATAAAATAGCTATTTTAAAGTTAATTGTTTACTATATATATAACTATGTTATTTTTAATTTAGACGGGCTAAAAAGAAAAATAAATCGTATAAATTGAGATGCTCTTGGGTAAACTATTAAACTAATAAGAGTTGTATCATCTAGCTTCATTTAAAAATGAAACTTGCATTTTACAGAATCAAAATAGAAATGATTTTCTAATTTGATCATTTCTTAAGACTCTGGTGAATTGTATCAAATCCACTTTCGACTTTAAAGCGAACAGTTACCTTATAAAACTTTTTGTTTTGACTTTAATTTAAGTTTAGCACATTAGATTCAATAATATATTAATTTACATAATAGCTTGAATGAGGGAGAAGAAAGGGCAAGAATTTCACCCTTCATGTTATACCCTTGAGTATCTGCTTGTAATTGTCATGCTTAAACTGGGAAGCTACCTTTGATACAACTGTCTTGATAGGATTGTTGGAGGAAGCTTGGCTAATCTTCACCTTGTACTCAACATCCACGAACTGCATTCAAAGACCATTTAAATGGCAGATGCCAAAACTCAGAAACATATATCAAGAATTTGATTCTTTGAAACATATCTGAGAAAAATGGTGAATGTTGATGACAATTAGTGATATATAATATTGACTAATGGAGGGTAATTATCGATAGTGATTAGTGGATGTCATAATGGTTGGTGGTGATGATTGCAAATAATGGCTAATAGTACTGATGACGATTGATAAAGCAACGATTACCCATGACCTCTATTGATAAGACAACCAGTAAATACCCATATGTCTCATAAATGTTAAGAAAAGTAAAGACTAATGACTATTCCGTGGAATTTATGCGTACGTAGAATTTATTATAAGCAGTGTTATCATTTAAAAAAGAGAACATATAAACAAATTAGAAGGAAGAATAACCCATTTTTGAACGTTTGAGTTTTAGATTTAGCGTGATTAATAACCCGTTTTGCGTGCATTCCTGATTAATGTTAAATGATCCTTGCAAAACGGTGAATGTGAACGTTGGGTAAGTGCAAGCTAAGTTACCAATATATATACGTAGTAACAGAATGACCAACAATATAAGAGTAAAAACAGGAATCCAAGTGATCGTTTATCCGTTAAGCATGCTCCACATCATACCAGGTTCTTTTCTGTTCCACAACAACCGATTTACAATCCTCCCAACTTCTCACCACTTTTGGAGATCAAATCCACTTATATGGAACTGAATTCGTGTACTTTAGCAAAAAAAAAAATTCCCTTTTAATTCTAATGCTATCAAAGTAGCTACAAGTGCTTGAGAGAAAAGAGGAACAAAGCTGGACCAACAGTTACTCCAACGCAACATCTTGAGGCTGATAACTCTTGGCTGGCAAATTTAGACAACTGGAGCTTAGAAGAACAGAAATACCCCATTCAGAGTTATCTGGAAATTGAACAACTGGAGCTTAAAAAAGAGAAATACCCCCCTCAAATTATCTCGCAAATTCGAACTAGAGCTCAAAGAAAACAGAAATACCCCATTCAGTGGCCATATTTAGAAAAGAAATACCATGACAAACAGAAGCCAAACTATCCTAGCTACTTCAAGATGCTAATACCTTCCTCAACTTCAAAAAATAGTACACTCACATCTGTAGTGCTGTTTTATAGGTAAGAGATCCAAATGAGCAAATACAACAAACGCTGTAAAAAACAGGAGTCTAACATTATCAAAACCATTGTAAAAGACTATAACTGATCGCTTTTCAGAAACTCCTTAATCTCATCCCTTCTCATGCTAGCTGCATGAACCTACCTAACTAATTGGTTGGATAACACGATATCACTGCCAACTAATACTTGTGTTTATGGTAGATAACACATTAAAATTCCACTACTCTAGCACCTGTACTCCATTTAAAGCTTATGGGTAGATAAGGAAAACCAGAAGACTTGGGAGGGAAATGAGTCAATCCCCTAACAACATGGAATATAGAGAGCAACGTATACTAGGGAAGGCTCAGAAACTTCTACTGAATAGTGTTCCCGAGGAGAAGATGCAAGAAAAGATGATCTGCTGTAGGTACCAGAGATGAGGTTTACAGCATTGCCTCGGATAGAACCAGAAAGAGATTGGCATAACCTAAACAGGAAGTCCTTGGATGCCTCGAGAAACAAACAAAAGTGAGAATCCACAGCAAATTCAAACTTCAAAATAAAATTGCAAAACCCAGAAAGAGATTCCCTGCGCCATAAGCTCATCCTTCAGGTCTCACTTCCATAGCACAGGAGGCCAAGCATTCTGCAGACACTCTTTTCTGCAACTCACAGATCTGCTCATACTCCATACTTACATAGCAAAATCAGAAAACTTACGGATACAACTGCACCAACAAATCCCGACCTACCAAATTCTGTAAATATCCAAAAATCATCAACCGTCTGTCTCTGGTAACACAAAACTAGTTGCGTTGATATAAATAACATAAAGAGTGTACATGACTTGTTACACAAAAGATGAGCCATGCTTTTTACTTGATCTGCTCTAGATTCAATATTTGACTGTTCAAATGGCAATATTTTATGGCAAAAACAGTGTGCGGTTTACACAATGGCTAACAGTCTGAAGCAACTCCGTAAATGAATGAATATCTGAACATGATACACATGTTCCAAAAAAATATATTAACAATAGGGGAGAGATCTCCAAAAATAAACAGAGGAGAGATCAGTAGAGAGATGCAAGACAAGATTGCATAACTCCCTAGCCAGTAAAAAATTGCAGTGCAAGCACAAGCACCAAAATGGCGAAGGAACAGGGTGCAAAACCAAAGGACACACTGAAACAAAACTTCGAAATTACCAAATTTGATCCCTTCACGATCGCCATGTTGATCTACGAACAAGCATCCAAACAAACAAAATCAAGAGGCATGACAAGCATAAGAGCAGCAAGAACACCAAAGTAGAGGAGCTCTTAGGGTCATAAGAAGATCTAAAGTTGAGTTTGGGTACTTTTCATGTGTAAATGAAAATCAGGGGTCTCATCATTTGGATCATCCAAAAAATAAAGCATCTAGACTAAAAAAATTTATGGCAGCAGAGTACAACACACACCAGTGTAAAATATTATCATCGTTTAGAACTTCCACATAACAGTAGTTTTGACAAAGAGAAGGGACTCATTGATTACTTAGAAAACTTGAAGTTCATGCACTGGAAAACACATGGTTACATGCACAAAAAGAACATAAACCCGTACACACAGGAGAGATCACTAGAGATGCCAAACAAGATAAGATTGCAAAACACCTTTTTTCTTACTACCTGGTAATATCCAATATCCAGATTGCAATGCAAGCACCAAAATGGCAAGAAACATGGTCCACAGGGTATGCACACCAAAACCAAACTACAAAGTATCCAATTATTGTCCTCTTGCTACCACCACGTGGCCTACAGACATTCATCCTGTCAATTTTGTTGAATGAGTTCTCTCAAATTTGACTTCTTCCATTAAATAGAAAGAATTCTGATTTACACGCCTAAAAATCTGCTATATATCCCTAAATATATGCTATTCCTAATTGTAATATCTCTGAAAATATGCTACATTAATCTATGCTATCTCCTATTATCATTACACAAATATTTAGAGTTATAACATAGATATGTACAGATATTTAGAATCTGTCCAATCATGCTAACAGGAAGTCCTTGGATGCCTTGAGAAACCAACAAAAGTGCGAATTCAAAGCAAATTCAAACTTCAAAAAAAAATTGCAAAACCCAGAAAGAGATTCCCTGCGCCATAAGCTCATCCTTCAGGTCTCACTTCCACAGCACAGGAGGCCAAGCATTCTGCAGACACTCTTTTCTGCAACTCACAGATCTCTCATACTCCATACCTACATAGCAAAATCAGAAAACTTACGGATACAACTGCACCAAGAAAACCAGACCTACCAAATTCTGTAAATATCCAAAAATCATCAACCATCTCTGGTAACACAAAACTAGTTGCGTTGATATAAATAACATAAAGAGTGTACATGACTTGTTACACAAAAGATGAGCCATGTTTTTTACTTTGTCTGTTCTAGATTCAATATTTGACTGTTCAAATGGCAATGTTTTATGGCAAAAACAGTGTGCGGTTTACACAATGGCTAACAGTCTGAAGCAACTCCGTAAATGAATTAATATCTGAACATAATACACATGTTCCAAAAACAATATTAACAATAGGGGAGAGATCTCCAAAAATAAACAGAGAAGAGATCAGTAGAGAGATGCAAGACAAGATTGCATAACGCCCTTGCCAGTGCCTGGTGATATCCAAATTGCAGTGCAAGCACAAGTACCAAAATGGCGAAGGAACAAGGTACACAACCAACGGACACACTGAAACCAAACTTCGAAATTACCCAATCTGATCCCCTCACGATCACCATGTTGATCTACAAACAAGCATCCAAACAAACAAAATCAAGAGGCATGACAAGCATAAGAGCAGCAAGAACACCAAAGTAGACTAGTGTAAAATATTATCATTGTTCAGAACTTCCACATAACAGTAGTTTTGACAAAGAGAAGGGACTCATTGATTAGGAAAAAAACTTGAAGTTCATGCACTGGAAAACCCATGGTTACATGCACAAAAAGAACATAAACCCGTACCACGCAGGAGAGATCACTAGAGATGCCAAACAAGATAAGATTGCAAAGCACCTTTTTCTTACTACCTGGTGATATCCAATATCCAGATTGCAATGCAAGCACCAAAATGGCAAGAAACATGGTCCTCAGGGTATGCACACCAAAACCAAACTACAAAGTATCAAATTATTGTCCTCTTACTACCACCACATTGCCTACAGACATTCATCCAACCAAACTAAATCAACTGGTAGGCTAAACGAAATCAGAGAAGGTAAGTAGCAAGATCACGAAAAGAATAGGAGTGCTTTACAGGGTCTTCAAAAGAACACTGTTGAATTTGAATACACTTATCATGTCTTGTCCATAACCATGGAAATCCTCACCAGTTGGATAACCAAAGAACATAAGCATCTGGATTATTAAAAAACAAATATGGAAACAAAATACACACTAAACAGTGTTCTGACAAGAGAGAAGGGAGCCACTCTGATTAGGGAGGCACCATGGTCATATGTAACTCCAGAAACATTTCTATTAATTAAAAAGAACAGACAACTAATTTCATACTTACACACCTTCCCTCCTCCTTGGTCCAGGCTTGGGACTGGCTGATTTAACAGGCGGAGTTACAAGGGTTCCCTAAACACAAAATGTAGCATCAAATAAACCAACACTACTACAAAATCAATTCTATCATACAACTCAACATACATCTCATACCATGAAGAAGTTGCATTTGCGAACTCCACAATTCCATAGCAACTTCAACAACTAAAAGTATATATAATATCCAAAAAGTAGATTCTCCAGTTCTGGAGCAACGAAGTATTTGCACAAAGAGAGAATAATATGTACCCTGATATAAACTTTTTGCACCAGTAACATCGCTATACACATGGAATCTTGGTCCTTCCCTATTTTTGCATCTGCCAAATTTCAAGATGCTTCATCAAGTGTTTCTTACAGAATTAAACTTCCATTAGTCCATGTTTTGAGAAAAAATATTTCCTCGCTTCCCGAAACTCAAGCTTTATTACATCCAAGATACTAATCCGCAGATTCCAATCCCAAACCAAAAGAGACCAAATAAGCATGTGAGATAAGCCAAAGAAAGAGAGACCCAACTGATCATAACAACCCAAAACAGAAAGCTACTTCACATCTATACTAGTTAAAATATTACCCATAGACCACCTATATTCAGTAACTGCATTTCATACATGTGAGAGGAGACAATTATTTTGAGAACATTCCGTTCTTACTCATAATTAAGACTCAAATCACCGACACAGCCGCCTTAATAGAACACTCATCCTCCCATACACTGCAAAGTGCACATAGATTAATAAATTACTACACATTCTAGGAGAAAGCACATTAGACAGTACTGAGTGACTAGAACACTCGAGCATAGTTGACCCCCACTTAGAATAACCAGAAGAACTTGTAATGTTAATCCAAAATAGACGTTAAAATACTTTCAACATGCAAAGATGACTAGAACACTCGAGCATAGTTGAACACACCTCCACTTAGAATAACCAGAAGAACTTGTAATGTTAATCCAAAATAGACATTAAAATACTTTCAACATGCAAAGATGACTAGAACACTCGAGCATAGTTGAACACACCCCCATTTAGAATAACCAGAAGAACTTGTAATGTTAATCCAAAATAGACGTTAAAATACTTTCAACATGCAAAGATGACTAGAACAGATCAATGTAAAACAGGAATCCAAGTGATCATACCAGGACCTTTTTCTTTTTAACATACTCCACATCATACTAGGACCTTTTCTATTAAACATGATCCATAACAACCGATTTATCATCTTCCCAACTTCTCTCCACTTTAGGAGAGCAAATCCGCTTATATGGAACTGACTTTGTGTATTTTAGCCAAAAAAGAGTCCTTTAGTCCTAGCGCTATCAAAATAGCTACAAGAACTTGAGAGAAAAGAGGAAGAAAGCTGGACTTGCAGTTACTACAAAGCAACATCTTTGAGATGATAATTCTTGACTGGCTAATTCAGACAACTGGAGCTTAGAGGAAGTACCACATTCAGAGTTATCCGGCGATACTGGACAACTAGAGCTTAAAGAGAAATACCCCACTTAAATTATTTGGCACATTTAGGCAAATTTGGACAACTGGAACTTAGAGAAACCAGAAATAACCATTTAGTGGCCATATTTAAAAAAGAAATACCACGACAAACTGAAGCCAAAGCATCCTAGCTACTTCAAGATGCTACTACCTTCCTCAACTTCAAAAATAGCACACTCACATCTGTAGTGCTGTTTTACAGGTAAGAGATCAAATCAGCAAACACAATAAATGCTCTAAATACAGGAGTCGCACATTAATAACCACTGTAAATGACTATAACAGACTGCTTCTCAGTAACACCTTGATATCGTTCCTTCTCATGCTTGGTGCATGAACCCATCTAACTAATTGGGTGGATAACACAACATCACTGTCCAAATAAGACTTGTTCATGGTAGATAACACATAAAATTCCACTACTCTAGCACCCGTACTCCATTTAAAGCTTATGGGTAGAGAAAGAAAACCAGAAGACTTTGGAGGGAGACCACTTCATGATTTTGTACGAGTCAATTGCCTAACAATATGGAATATAGAGAGCAACATCTACAAAAGAAGGCTTAAAAACTTCTACTGAATAGTGTTCCAGAGGAGAAGATGCAAGAAAAAGATAATTTGTTGCAGGTATCAGATATGAGGTTTACTTCGTTATAAAGATTATTGACATCCAAAAACAGAAACTGCATAGTGTATGCCCTTACCGTCATTGCTTCAGGTAGAACCAGAAAGGGATTGGCATAACCTAATCAGGAAGTCCTTGGATGCCTCAAGAAACCAACAAAAGAGAATTTACAACCAAGTCAAACTTCAAAATAAATCTGCAAACCCAAAAAATGATATCATTCACCAGAAGATCACCCTTCAGGTCTCACTTCCTGCACAAGAGGCCAAGTATTCTGCCAGACGTTCTTTTCTGCAACTGACAGATCTGCTCATATTTCATACCTATATGGCAAAATTAGAAAACTTATGGATACAACACAGCACCAATGAATCCAGACCTATCCAATTCAGTAAATAACCAAAATCGTCAACCGTCACTGGTAACACAAGACTAGTTGCATTATGGCAGAAACCTACAAAAAAAACATCCTTGATCCCTCCGTCCAAACTTCCAATAGCCACAACCAAGGAGCAGAAACCTGCATAAGAAAAAAACCATCATTGATTAGTTGCAGTGCAAGCACCTAAACGACCACCTTACTGAACACTAAGATTTTAAATTTCCAAATCTAATCCTCCAATACTGTTCACTATGTGTTATATACATCCTTCCAACAAACAGAACTCAAACTGGTGTGATGAGCAAAAAGAAAATGGAAGCAGAGAAGATAAGCAACAAGAACACAAAAGATAGATGATGGAAAAATCCAGAACTTAGCGAGTACTTACCAGAAATCCACACCATAAGATAACTCATCAGTTGGATCATCGCAAAACATAAGCATCTGGACTAAAAGCTGAAAATGCACTTGTGGAGAGAGTCATCATAGTTGAGAACTTCCGCTTAACAGCACTTCCGCTAACGAGATAAGGGGATCTCTATGACTAGGGAAGAAAACTTAATCGAAGAGCTAGGTACTAATACAAAGCCTGAACTAAGGAAAACTTCCAACGCTAAGACAAACAAGGCTGCTCCACGAAAGGAAGACTTCACTGGTCTTGAAAGACCCAACGATAACAAGCACAAAAAGAAGGGAACAATTAGAGTTGAAGCTGCGAAACCCATGCAACATAGGAGAGATCACTAGAGGTGCCAGACAAGATTGTGTAACTCCCTTGCCAGTGCCTGGTGATATCCAAATTTCAGTGCAAGCACCAAAATGGCACAGAAACAGGGTACACAAGGGAAGGACACACAGTGAGACCAAACTTCAAAATTACCAAATCTGATCCCCTCATGGTCACCATGTGGTCTACAAACATGCATCCAAACAAACAAAATCAAGTGGCAGGATAAACATAAGAAAATAGAACCAGGAGAAGATAAGTAGCACGAACAACGAAGTAGGAGGAGCTCCTCGGGCCATAAGAAGATATAAAATTGAGCTTGGGTACTTCTCAGGTGCCCATAACAATCAGAGATATCATCATCATTTGGATAAATCCAAGAAAAAACATCTAGACTAAAAACATCATGGCAGCAGAGTGAAAATATTATCATTCTTGAGAACTTCCACACAATAAGAGAAAAGGGACCTTTTGATTAGGAAGAAATCTGAGTTGAAGTTCATGCTGTGGAAGACCCAACCATTACATGCACAAGAAGAATGTAACAGGTAAGTGGAAAAATACCACGCAGGAGAGATCACTAGAGATGCCAAACAAGATGAGATTGCAAAGTGCCCTGTTCATGATGCCTGGTGATATCCAATAAACAGATTGCAGTGCAAGCACCAAAATGGAAAGAAACATGGTCCACAGAGGGATGCACACCCAAACCAGACTATAAAATCTCCAAAGATATAAGAGAAGGTAAGTAGCGAGAACACGAGAAGTACAGGGCCATCAGAAGAACATGATTGAGTTTGAATACACTTATCAAGTGTAGTCCATAACCATGGAGATCTCGTCAGTTGGATAACCAAAGAACATAAGCATCTGGATTATTACAAACAAATATCGCAACAAAATACACACTAGTGAAGCAGTGTTGACAAGAGAGAAGTGAACCATTCTGATTAGGGAAGAAAACTGAATTGAAGATCTCAATCATTAGAGCATCAAACAATAAACCTCAACACTAAATTGACAGATCATGCCGCTCCATGAAAAGAAGAATTTATCGCTCTGTAAGACCTTACACAGCAGCTGCAAGCACAGAAAGAATGGAACAGTTCAAGTGCAAATCTGGCGAAGACCATACCACCACGGAATTCACTACAAATGCCAGACAAAATTGAGAACCGCCTTCTTTCAAAGCTTGATAATCTCCAGATTGAAGTTCAAGCACCAATATGGCCAAGAAACAAGGTGCAGAGAAATGCATTTAGGCCACCAACCTTCAAAATCTTCCAAGTTTATTCCTCTCAACTGTCATGACACATCCACATTCAACAAACAAGATCAAGCTAGCGTAATACAAGAAAAATGAAGCAGAGAAGATAAGCAGCAAGAACACCAAAAGAGAGGACCATTTTACGAGGTTTTCAAAAGATCCAAAATTTAGTACTTCGCAGGCGTCCATCTATAACCCATCAACCATCAGGAATCTCATCAATTGGATCATCGAAGAAAATAAGCATCCGAACTAAACACTAAAAATGGCAGTAGAATACAGCACACACTAACGGAAAAAAAACTATTTTAGTTGAAAATGTCAGAAGTCATAAGATCTTGAACCACAGAAACCTCATTATAAATGGACAAAGAAAGCCACTCCATGAAAAAAATAGTTCATTGCTCTATAAGCCCAATAGCTGCAAGCGCACAAAAACAAGGGTACAATCAAGTCCAAAACTGACGAAACCCATACCCCTAAGAAATCACTAGAGACGCCATATGGAAAAGATTTAGAACTCCCTTTTTGTTGAAGCCCTGACCAATATATCAAAATTGCAGTGCAGGAACCAAAAAGACCAAGAGGGTACAGAGATACTATACTGGATATCAACCTTTAAAATCTCCAAATCTTAACCTCTATTATTGTCACCATATAGTCTACACATCCATCCAAACAAAAAAAACAAGTTGTGATAACCGAAATATCTATGTAGCTAGAAGATCAGATGTAGAGGAGCATTAATGGCACTGTCTAAGGAAAAGATCCAAAATTGGCTGAGTACTTATCAAGTGTCCATAGCCATAGGAGACCGTATCAATTGGATCATCAAAGACATAGTGTCTGGGTTAAAAACTTCATGGCAGCAGAATAACAACACACACTAGTGAAAAATATTATCTTAGTCAAACACGTCCACTCCATGGAAAGAATAATTCACTGCCCTGTAACCATGGCTGCATTAACAGAAAGAACGGAACAGTCAAGTGCAAATCCGACGAACCCCAAACCACCCAAGTAATCACTAGAGATGCCATAGACGAGACTGCAAAACCCCTTCTGTCGAAGCCCGAACAATATCCAGATTGCTGTGCAAGCACCAAAAAGACCAAAAGATGGCAGAGGATCACATGTTGGTAAACCAAGTTGAGATTTGCAAATTTGAACATCCATAACAGTGTCACCACATGGTCTACTACACATCCATCCAACCAAAACAAACTAGTGTGGTAACGAAAAATATGTGGAAGCAGAGAAGATAAATAGGTAGCTAGAGAATAAAAGTAAAGAAGTATTT